AAATTTTCGTTTTTTTTTTTTTTTTTTGTTTTGGGGTGAAATTCATTTATAATTGGAATAACATTTTCTAATTGGGCATAAAAATAGACCCAACAATTTTATCCACAGGTTACTCAAGCCATGCATCAATCGATGACACCCATGTCTTTACCAATTACAAATGTATCTATGCAGGTGCCAGCTTCTATTGCTCCCAACGTACCTGTAGATGTACCCACAACCACAACCATTGCGTCTCCTCAGTTATCAAGCTCTAATACACAGAGTCTACCTATGTCTCAAACTCCACAAATTGATACAAACGGGGATCTCGTGTCACCTTCACTCATATCATCCTCTCCAAAGAAGCCAAAACTTCGTGTTCAAATTCCGGAGGCAAAAGAAAAGCAGTCAGCCCCTAATGCAGTACAACAATCACAGACAATTAAGTCTGATCCATCCCCAGAACAAGAAACTATTTCTGACTCGCAGCAAACAATGGTATCACAACCGGTGAGTCGATATTTATTCGCTTTAGTTATCATATGTGCATTAGTTTTTAATTTATCACTAATGCTAAAAATATTTTGTAATTTAACAAGCTGCAATCATCTCGCCCTACCCCGGGTACCACTGATACGGGTCCTACATCTGCCTTGCCTTCTCAATTTGCACAGAATTTACCATCACCGTCAACCTTCTTTTCAGAATTTTATAAAACAGCTGAATTACCCAGTCCCCTCACATTTGGTAATACACCCACTAGTGCTAATCCCGGAGCTTTTCCTTGGCCAGCTCCTCGTATGAATTATATGCACCAGCCTTCACCATTGGCCAAGCATGAACCTAGTTCTAATCCATTAAAGAATCGTCCTGCGCCAGCCGATGATGATGACGATGGTGATAGCGAGCCAGAAAAGAAAAAGACGAAACAATGAAAAGTTTATAATGTTTTTTAGTTGGGTGTTTTTGGACATTTTCAATAAAATGCCTTTGACCCTTTTCAATGTTTTAGAACAAAAGAACAGATACCTTGACCAATTTTTTTAATATATTAAACTATTATGGTTATGAAAAATTTTTTATTGACATTGGATTGTGTTGTCTGATCCATTTAATGTTTTAATTTAGAATAGTAATGATATCGGATCAGAAGTTATTTTGTGTGGGTTTTAACTATTTTTTTTTTCTTATCGGACTTTTTCAAAAAAAAAAAAGACAATTCTCTTCATCCTATCTCTTTATGTTATATATCTTTTTGCCGTTGTCTATATTCCCCTGTATTATATAACGAATCTTTCTCTTTCTTTTATAACATATTTCGATTTTATCCATTTTAACCATTCATCATCCATATGATTTAAGATTTATACTACTACAGGGATGAAGATTAGCAAATTAATAATGTTAAACCATGATTTTACTTTTTTTTCCGTAATTCATTAATACAATTGGGAAATATTTTTTCTCAACGGACATTTATCTAATTTTCTTGGTAATTTTTTGATATTTGTTCATTTAAAATATTAATTATAACTTTTATTAAATCTGAATGCGGACAATTAAATACATTTAAATTCTGACTTTAAACCTTGTAAAACTATTCCGGCAGGCCTCATTCCACGAAAAAAGAGAACTACAATATTTGCGCAGGCTTTTGCAACAAGTTCAATGTTTTTAGCAATGACCGATGCTAACGCAGATAGATTTCAATTTTATTTCACACCTAAGACTTTACAATTAGGTTAAATCGGTCTGGTCCATTCCGTCTCGGTCCCTAATAAGACCAGTCTAATGTTTATTTATCCAATTTGGCCCCAAACCATCTTATGGACATTTATTGGCTAGTATAGGTTATTTAATCTACAAAGTTTTGTAACCCTGAAGCGTACCGCCGAGGTCTCAAACGTTGATAAAGATGCACTATTACATCTTTGACAAACGAGTTGATTAGAATGTTTTAGTGCCATAATATGTACAATTTAGCTTCAGTAAGTATTTCATATAGAATCTAAAACTAAAAATGAGGCTGCTTGTACGATTTCTAAGCGCAAGGATGATACGAAGATGACCTATAGAGATATTGTGTGTACAAGCTAAAGGCAATGTAAACTTTAAACTCAATTTTTCGAACAATGTTTTTTCAGCTTTTTAAAACTTATTATTTGGTGAAGAG